CCGTATACGTCTGTATACGGGAGCGCGCAAGAGAGATCGCGCGCGAGCGAAATAATCTACGTGTGTTCGATAATGTAACTCGAGAATTAGAAATTAAGCCAGCCAGCGGACAGCGTGTAGTTTTCGAACGATCGAGAGAGAGAGAGAGAGAGAGAGAGAAAATGAGAGTGTGAGAGGAGTATGTGTGCATGCGTGTGCGATCGTACATGATGTATGCGTGGGCACGACGCGCGAGAGTTCGTTCGCGCTCGCTCGCTCGCTCGCACGTGTTCACCAAATATATTCTACCGTCATTAATCACGTCTCATCACCCCGCCATTACCAATGTACTCACCGTAACGACTAGGATAAGCATCCGTAAGCATCCGTAAGTTATCGAATACTATTATATCATCATTAATGCGACATTAAGGCGGAAACCGAGAATTCACGATGCCTCGCGAGTGTGCGTCCATCGACAGAAGAAGAAATGAGGCAAAAAAGACACACACACAGACATACCGAAAGGGACAGACAAATAGGAGAAGCTCATTTAATGTCGGTATTCACTGTTCATTATTTATAAATGACTCGAAATACAGGATACAATAAAACGCATAGTACTTAGCCGATTGTGTTTTTCATTCGCCTTCTTCTTAATTGTTAATACAGAATCTACGTGAAGAATCGAGTGGTATTTCGGGCGTGTGCCGGACATACGATCGTCAATTGTCGAATTAACGTATTAAGAGCTGCTAAATTTTTAAAGAACTTTCTCTATAACAGAGTAAAATTTGAAAATAGGTACAATGTTTAAAACGAGATTTATTTTAAAAAATAGTAATTATTGACTGTTTTTTTTTGTTTTTTTGAAAATACAGTGGAACGTGCGTTGCGATGTTAATAAAACTAATTAATTCGCCGCCGTGCGTCGGAGAATCGTTTCTGGCGCGCGTGTCAATTCCACCGCGCGAATTTTATCCTATCGGTTTCGAATTATGTCCTCTGAGAAAGAGTGTCCCCTCGCCGGAGGCCGAAAGAAGTCGTCAAGAAGGAAAGAGCGTTACTTAGCATCCATTACGAAGATGTTCCATTAATTCAACTCCATTACATTCTTTATGGGCTACCCATTCATCGAAAGGGGAACTTGGCGGACGCAAACCGAGACGTCTCTTTTAATGGTTGCTCCCACCGCGATTATGGAAATCGATACCGCGGAAGTTATAACGCGTAATCGCTCTCACGATCAATATATTCCTTCGTCTCTTTCGCGTTTTAACTTTTTCTTCCTTCTCCTTCTCGTTTCTTTCCTTTTTTTCCATGCTAGCCATCTCGTCGTCGCCCGAACGTCACCGAAATTCGTGATCGTTTCTTCGGAATGTGTCAGGGTCGAGAGGGGAACTATATTATCCTGGAGTCTCGCGGTGATCTTTGAGAGAGGGGGAGGGGAGGGGGGTTAGCGGCGACGATAAACTCTCACCCGGACTAGTAGCTCCGTGATAAAAACCGCCGAAAGAGGCTTCGGCCGAGCAGCGCCGGCCGGGCGAAAAATGGAGAAAAACGAAGCACAAGAGCTGCCGGAAAAAAGAACATTCTCTATTGCCGTACTCCCTCCTCTGCGCCTCTCGTTCGCTCACCCTCGCGTTTTCTCCCCGGCCAGACCGCACGGTGCGTTAAACGTCGCGGTTTTTAAAAGCCCCCTTTTCAGCAATACGCTGCTCTGGAAAATACTAAATCAGAACGGTGGCACTGACGGCGGTGCGTTGTGTGGAATAGGCCGGGGGTGAGGGAGACAGAGGCAGTGAAAGAGAAGGAGGGAGAGAAAGAGAGAGATACAGGGGTGAAGTATTCTCGCTGTTGTGTCGGCCTGAACGACACCGCGTAGAATCGCGCGCGAATGTGTTCCGGACGCGAATAGACAAGCTATTTCGTTTCGCCCGGAATAATTTCCTTCCGAGTTATTGTCGCGTCTATAGTTGTGTATGTGTATGTGTGTGTGATCACTCTTCTCTCCGCGGAGTCCCATACGGAATCGACGCGGTCACTGACGCGAAAACTCGCTGCGCACCGTCATTAAAGAAAGCCACGGCTCTAAACTTACTCGGGAAAACCCCGAGTCGAAATTTTGCTTATGTTAAACTTCTAATTCCACGTAGAAATTTGTCCAGATTTTTCCACGCACAGTATAGATTTCGATTGGAATATTCAAGGTTGTCTCAAAATAGATTACTCCACTAGGGTACCAATTAGGAATCTCATTCTTCCCTCTCTGAAATGGTCACTTTTGACGACGAGGGAAACTCCTTTTGTCAGAAATTATGTTACATTTTGTTGCCTGGAGCAAAAAGCTCACTACACCTATTGCAGATCCGACATTAGCACTTGACGCGTTTTTCCCTTTCTCGCTTTCTCTCCACCTCGCTCATTTTTCCCTTCTCACTTCAACGTCAACGTTTGTGGCGATACTTCTCTTGATCAAGGGAAATATCAGCCGAGCCAACCTCGCCGCAGGTATTCCTAAAACAATGTCGGCGAAACAAACCGCTTTATTTCGGCACAGCACTCGACCATGCTGTCGCACACTTCCTCATACCTCCATTGTCCTAGCACTAGCGAGCGTTCTCTTTTTGCGAGGTGGCAGAGCAGAGAAAGACATAAACCCTTTGTCATAATTTCGCACTGCGGCGCCACGTAGTGGATACGCGACGCGTGGAATCTTTTGGTGCATACCGTTGGCTGGAGGGTTATGCATCATCTCGACGCAGTCAACTCGCGTGCGCGCGCGTTCGAAAAAAGCCGCTGCCGCCGTCACTGGTTCGTGATATCACGTTGCGCTCATAAAAATTGCGCGCCATCGCGGCTTCCATTCGGCCTACTATCGTTTTTTCGTACAGACGCAATATTGCGTCGCGCGGATTCTTCCGATAAGTGAATCCAATCAGCGGAATTAGCATCTTCGTAATTTTATACCTACAGTGGACATCACAAGGATAATAGTATTTGTCGGTCAGGGACTGCTCTTGTTCGTCTTTTACAATTTTTCATGATTGTTGTTTCCATATAAATAAATATTATTATTTTTTAAAGCGAATCTTTTTATTAGGAACATCAATTTAAAGTGGAGGACACTTGTTATCCACGCGACCACTCTTCAGCATTAACACTTAGACTGCCCGTATATTTGTTTATTTAAGATAGTTGGAAAGGGAAAGTTAGAGGATCCATTTCCACATAATAAAAATTTTCGTTTTTTCGCTGCCATTTTATTAATTTTTACAGATTCCTTTTTCTTTAGTTCATCCTATAGACGAAAATTTTTGGAAACACGACGTGGTTTATCTCAATTAAAAAAGTCAACTGGATCACTTGGAAAACCACAATCTATATCATAGAATGGGTCGTAATGCAGCAGCTGCATATGTTATAATATTTTTGAATTTCTTAAATATATCTTCATTGTTAAAATATAATAGTACAAATAGTTCGCGGGAAGATCTCGTATTCAATTAAATCCGACAGCTGTAGTAATGAGCAAAATTTCACCGACTTTTTATCAGTTCAAACCTTTCTAACGCCTTAGATCGATTTCCTGCGTTCCGCGCGTCGCGGAAATACTCGCGCAGATGCGAACGTGAAGACTACATTTTGTACGTGAGAAGTGCGTTTGTCAGAGTCTGCTGTCGACGACGAGGACAAGAACAGTCGATAGCTTACGTTAACGTCGTCAGTCCACGCATTGTGCGCGGACACGTGTGTGTACGTACACGCGCGTGGCATCACATACAAAGCGCCGGGCTCGCGTATTGCCAGTCACTGCGTTGCCCGTTGGCATTGTGTACGTACCATTACAATGTATATCGCCTGGCCGAGTCAACAGGCCGACAGAGAACGTCCATTACTTCATCAAACCTCGACCATCGCCGACAGATCCGCCCGCCGCCAATTTGCCAACAATCGCGACACTCGCGGTCAGTATAAACAGTTCGGTTCTCTTTGACTGCGCCGGCGGGGACGCTCGAGCAGGGTAGCAAGCGTTACGCGGCTCGGTATCGTCGGGGTGATACGTGGTTCCGGCCGACGTAATCCTGCCCCTTTCGCTAATTACTTCTTAATGAGTGACGCAAGTACGTGCGATCCTCGAAAGGATCTCGGCGCTCACACCAGTGACGGATTTATATAGAAACTAGTGAAGCTGGAACATCAGGGTCCTCATCGGAAAATCATCCCGAGATTCAGTCCTTTCTCTTCATTTATTTACAAGCAGTTATTAAGAGGCCCCTGAAATAAAATGCAAATAATTCGTAAAAAATCCAAAAAATGCAAAATCATGATTTGTATAATTTTCTCGTGATGTAGGCCTGAGAGACCTATGACCTATTTAGCATCAGGATCACGGGTGTTATTCCTAGATTCAAGACTTATTTATATTCGCGAGACTGGTGAGGATCGAACGAAAGATTCGCTTGCTACACGCTGATCCATCCGTACGCTCTCTCTTTCTTCTTACTGTCTCTCTCCCTCTCCTGCAACGGGAATATAGAAAGACGATGCGGTAAGCGTCGGTAAGCGCGTCCGGTGAAGCTGCGGCTTAATTGTAGTGTTTAATCGCGGGAGAACGGCGAGAGGTCAGCTAGATTAATTATTTAAACCCCCTTAGGCTAACGTCGAATTAATGGACACGGCGCCGCAACGCTACCGCGGTATCGATAATTCTGTAACTCCTGCGACTGTTCCTATTGGACTCGGGGCACGCGCCGTTTACGGGATATAGATAATGCGTCCGTGTGTGTATATCTCATTTATGATTGCGCGACTATTACCGCCTACCTCGACGCTGTTTCCCCGACGAATTTTCCTGGACAGCGTAAAGCTCCGAGCGAGAGGGTGAAAATTTCAGGAGCTTCGGCAGGAGAAATGTTTTATCGCGTCTCTCTTCGACTCCGAATGGTGATTCAGTTTTTCTTCTTCCTTCCTTCCTTCTTTTTTTTTTCGATATACCTCCGAACTGTAATCTTCTCGAGCGCGGTAGGACTTAAGCTACGCGCTCGCCGAAGAAAATTTTCCAGCGCCGACCCCTCACGTTAATGAGATCGAATAAAGACGGTGCGAATTTGAGATTTGGATAATCAAGAGATTATTCGACGGCATCTCCCGGCTTTGATTTTCGTCGAAGTGCAATTTAATATGAGACGAAAAATAAAACAAAGAGAAAAAGAGACATTTGCAATACTTCTTTTTTTCAGCACGCTTTAGGAAAGCGGATAACGGGGCGCGAAATATCGCGATATCGGGAGAAAACCGCATCTCTGGATGTGTCGAATGTTTTAATTACCGCACAAATGCCCATTTAATTAATCGCGCACCGCGGAAGGACAAATGCACGAAACAAAAATTTCGACGAGTGACAACAAACCTAACGAAACTCGCCGAATCATCCGGCAAAAAGTGAAAAAGTGAAAAAGTTCGGTGAATCTTCGTTGCTCGCGCGCAGAACCCGTGCGTGTCACAGTGTTTAATTTCCAAAAGACAGGTGCGTCAATAAACGCTGGGAACGCGTATATTCGAACCTCCAGGACATATCCGGTGACCAAGCGACGCAGCTACCACGGTTTCTCTCTCTCCCTCTCCGTGGTATCGGAGAAACGTATCGGGTCGAATCGGCCGAGCCGATTCAAGCCAATCGTTCTCCCTCCATTTGCAAATTAAATGGTCACGTCCTTGATTTCAATTCCATAGAAGAGCCAATCCCGGTTGAGTTTCCCAATGTAACTTGTCTTAAACTCGGCGACCGGGAGCGTTTAATCTTAATCGATCTACCCGCCTTATCGCGCCGCCGATGTATATCAACATTTTTCTATTTTCACTGCTGACATCTCCATCGACTTTCCTACCACTTTCGCCTCCGTTCATCCCCGCCGCCACCGCTGTCGTCAGCCTCTCTTTCCCGCCCGCTCCTCCCTACCCCCCGTCACTTTTATCCGTTTCGTTTCTCATTCTCCCATACCTACACGTTCTTCCGGTTCTGCCGATTTCTTTCCATCGACTCGCCTCCCCGCGCTCTCTCCGTTTTTCCGTTTACCACTTTCCGCCACCGCCTTCGTTTGGCTCCTTACAGATTCCGCAACTACTCCCGTTCGGAAGCGGGCGTCCCCTTAGCTGCTTCGAGTCTTATCTTAATGGCTTGCCTTGGCAATCGAAAGTTTAGTTATTATCGCGGCCGTTGTCGACCCGCTTCGCGAACTGTATGGTAGATCGCGTGGAAGCATCGTGCTAGATAGGAACTGTGGAAATTACCAGGTTGACACATACGCACGGCCGTGGGCGAAGATGAACTCCGGCTTTTTGGAGCGAGAACTTTCGATTGGACGGCACACCGACGCCAAATCGGATTCGGGGAATGAGGGAAAGAAACGTTATTAAAACGAAACTATTTCGATTAACGATTCGATAAATTTGTCAAAAATATCCTCGTCGACGATCTCTTTATCGCGACGACGGTGACTCCGTATCTTTTATTATTTTACCTAAAAACAGATCGAGTTTTGCCTAATTTGATTAAAAATTCGACGAAATGTTGTTATTTCTGGACGATCGATCGTTTTCACCTTGAGTATCATAATAATTAATCGTCACAATTATATTTTCAATTTGGGAGATAAAGTAAAAATTAAAAATAGCACGCTATTTTCAAAGAACACATAAAAAATGTCGACTTTAGTTACAAATATCTCAGCTCTCAAACATTTTCTAATTGCAAACACGAGTAGTTACATGATATTTCAATTCATACGTAATGCAAGTTTCATCAAATTCTTATCAAAATCATTCCGCCTTACAACCTCCTCAATCGTACAGATTTAATTTTAACCTTGTCTTGGACAAACTATTTCGATGTTAAATAGAAATTTAAAGCATTATCAGAGTCAAAGTAGGTGGTAAATTATATTTTTCGAATTGAAATTTTGAATCTATTTAGTTAGTTCCTACTGCATCGTAGAACACGAGATTTAACATAGGGGCAACATTTCGATTCGGGTTATTCGTCGTTTAGTTACCTACGGAGCACGCGATCGTTTAATTAATAATTGGGGTATATGTAACATTTGATCTTGTCGTGTCTTTATTATCGTTACTCCGGGAAACATGGCTTAGTGGTAACTTCTTCATCCCAACATTAACAGGGTCGGATAGGTAGGTGGTGCGCTTCCTCGCGAGTGTGCAGTTTCCTTCACGGTCTCTCCAAACAGGCGGTAATGAAATGTTTCCACTGTTGCCGCAACGAGAATACCGTAGGTATCCGTAGTACGAACGTCAACTCATTAAGGACGATCCATTATTGACGGTGCAACCGGGTCAATTACTCATAAGTCCCTAGTACTTAAGATACCCTATCGATCTACGCTCCGCATCATCATTACGCGCCTCGCTCTTGCATCTCTGCGCCACGTGAGTTTCCTCGTGAAATACATGAAAAAATAATAAAAAAAGAAAAAGAATTACGCTACGGATTATATTCATTCTGGCGATCGCTAATTAATTACGTCTTCTAGTCGATCTTCCGGGTAAGAGACTACCGTCGTCTTTTACATGGCTTCCCTTTTGCCGCTTACGCAAAATAAGCCGCTCAATGTAACAGTGACATATTAGTCGAAGCGCGCATACGCGCGCGTATTCGCGATGCATTTTCGAGAATAACGACTCGTCTGAATACGGTCGAGTTGCAATCGATACTTTTATATCCGCCGAGCCTCGCTAATTAACGGGAGAGAGGGAGTCATTTCGCGCAAGTTTCGCGCGGAGAAAAGATACACCCATTTTCACGCGGCGCGATGGTTTTCGAAAATTCGCTCCGATGAAAAATAACGACGCCGAAATTGTAGTTATCATTGCCGGAAGAGTGAAAGAGTGAGACGATGAGTCGGAAACGCGGAGCGGGCGACACGCTGTTGTCCGGCGACGTCGGCCGTCATTATGGAAAATACGATCTCGACCGAGTCGGTAAGATATTTCGTTTACGATCGCGAACTCCTCGTGTCGACTTCTTCGCCGACGTGTGAAGCTTTTCAGGTCTCTTCGACGATGCACCGCCGGGCCCGTTCGACATGTATCGAGGGCCCGAGGTGGAATTTCGTGAGGCCAAAGGACGTCAAATCCTCGCCGGACCTTCCAAAGTGCTCTTCGAGGAGAAATTCGAGCGAATCTTTCAAGGCGAAGCACTCAGTGGAGTGTGGCGCGATGGAGCGGCGCAGCGGGTACTTATTCGCGATGTGCAAGATGTCTCAGACGACATTGTCTTCGGGGAATTGAAAGAAAGTGCGCGATGTCTCTGACATCTTGTACATTGTTACTGGGGAGTTCCTAATGTTATCCTTGATTATTATCAGTTCTCCCTCTCTCTGTCTCTGTTTACTATTGCGTTTCGATGGTCACTGATGACATTATCGTAATTAATTACTTCAATTGACTAATAATAATTATTTCGTCAGTTACATATTATAAATTGCATATGAATATTGATTGTGCAAACTGCAATTATTGATTAGTAGCTGCGTATCATACATTTCAATATTGATTTGGAATGTGACGCGAAAGGTTCTTCGCATATGGGGTTTGTTATTACAGCTGACTAACCGATTTGATGAGAGTTTCGTTTAATTTATTATATTTGATTAAATAACGCACACAGAATATGTATCGTTCAAACTCTCCCCTTCCCTCTCTCTTTCGTCCGATTTTTATTTCTATTACCAGTCATTCAATCGTATTTATACTCGCTTCGATAGTTTCCGCTTTAGCAAAAACATTACAGTGGGAAAAACAGACAGAGACAAATATAGATATACATGTGTACATAAAGAGAAAGCAAGAGATGAGGTCGTCGCATCCGTTTTATTTGTTTGACGGATACATGATCGTTTCAGTTACTAGACGAGAAGAAGATCCGCCGACATCGTATGCTACCGACATCGCCATCGAAGAAGCACTCGACTCCCGGAGATTGGTATGGATGTTTCGATAAGCCTTCTTACCTCAGTCCGCTGCCGAAGATGGAAACGAAAAAAAAGCTGCCGGCTCTGCCTAATATGAAGATCAAGCCGAATCCGCTTGGCGGGCCGGGATACGCGAATATTTGCTTCAGTCCTTATCCAACGTATTTCCACCATCCTTACGATCACGTTGCGGAAGGAATACTTCGTCAAAGTAAATGGGTTTTTGCGTTATGGCGCTGCTTCCGATCCGCTCGCTCGTGCACGTGCTTTTTGACTGACAAACCACTGGAATAACTTTCAACGGCATATTTCCCCATTCTCTTTTCCTTTCTTTCTCTTCTATTAAATCTAATTGCGTCAATTAAATTGTCCACTCTAATTCTGTGAATCAGAACACACAGAACAACTTAGCACACTTATGCATTTTTATTTTTGTATTTCCATTTTTATATTTTTGTACTTCCATTTGTATTTTTCGTGTTTCTGCTCCCATTTTCATTTTTTATCTTTACTTTTATACTGCCAGATAGTTTCCTATATGTATATTTTCTCTCATACGCTTTTAGAAGACGAGGACCTGGAGCTAGAATAAACGTACTTATCAGTCTATCTTTCTACCTCTCTCTCTTTTTCTTTCTCCTATTCGTAATCGCGACTCTCTCTGTTAAAATTTTTATTTTTTAATCGCGATTATTGCGATATTATGCCGGTTGATAAAACATTACTTTGCGAGGATTATCTCAATGCGTATCTCAATGAAACGTTTTATCGTCATACAATTGCCATCTGAAGGTGAAGTATTTTTATCGGGAATATATGAATATATCGAACATTGTGGAGTATTGAAGAACAGAAAAACATGTAATGTAGCACGATACTTCGTGCACACGCGAGACAGGCAGACAGAGAAAGAAAAAGAGAGAGAGAGAGAGAGAGAGAGAGAAATTGTTTCCGTGCTCTCAGGAATACTTTTCGGACCGGATGTCGTTAGGACGTTTTCGACAAACTTACTTTCGCAGTTTCTCCGTGTATTACGAGCGAAGTGAGCCCCGTTGTTTACCCGTTGTAGTAAGTAACGATAGAGATTTATGTCGGAACGACGAGTTTATTTCGATCTTGAGCTGAATATGATGAGAAGAGGGTAGGTCACGCGTATAGTCGCAGTTTGAACTACGCTGTTGTTGGGCGAACGGGCGAGCGAGTTTCCGCTCTTTTCTCTCCTTTTTTCGTTCTCTCTTGCTGTTTTTATTTTATTTCGTACGTATATTACAAAGCACTTTAATCTATAATTCTAGCATTACGAGATACTGCGCGCCACGACTTAATAATGCTCGTCGTAGTGTACTTCCGTTACAAAAAAAAAAAATATGCATCTCTTGAATTGTTGCCGCTCGCCCGAGGCATAATTTGCGATTTTTTTTATAATGACGCCAAAACGTATGGCTAAAATTCGTTCGAGTACATTTGTAAAATATTTCGAAAGCTTTCCTTTTAATTTAACAATCAATAAATAGCTGTAAAATTAAAATGATAAAATTGTCAGGAAAGATAGATTAAAAGGGATAGTCGCATGTCATATTAATTTTACGGTTATTTATTGATTTTTAGAACAAAAGGAAAATTTTTGGAATATTTTACAAATATGCTCATAATTGATCATAACTCTCATTTTACGGGCATATTCTTTTAATTCAATATATTTTTACAAGAATTTTGGACACGTGTTTTTTCGCCTCTGACGTCATCAAACAAGAGCAGAAGCTTTAAGAATAATTATACAACTATGGCGCGTAAAATGCTATCGGAGTGACGATCATTTGTGAATAATGGATGTGAGCGATCAATAATGATACAAAACGCCTCTTTTTGTATTTTACACCTCGTTAATAAAAACAGTAATTAACGTAACGTTAGTTTCATATATATTATTTTGCCAAACTTTTTGCGTGCTCCGTTTTTAATTATCTCGTATGCGTGTGCAATTCACTGCGACATTGTTAAAAAGTAATGATGACAGAACGCGAAATACATACGTAGGTTGGAATTTTTTAGAGGGCTTTCCGTTTCATACGCTAGCACGTAATTAATTATATTTTCACCGTAAAAAGAAAAATGAGGAAATGACGAGAGTCGCATAGTAGGCTCTACCGACATTTGAGGAAAACATTTTTAATTTCCGCGTGAAATTGCTTGCAAAATATTCAACAACAACAATAACAAGACAAGGAAAGAGAGAGAGAGAAAGAGAGAGAGAGAGAGAGAGAAAAGCTTTTTGATATACATATGACAACAAAAGTAAGGATCGGTCAGACATAAAAAAAACAAAGTAGGAGAAAAAACTGTTATTATCGATACAACATTTGTGTCTCCGTAACTTTGTGATTTTCACATTTTTTTTTCTCTACAAAAAATGGCATGATTTTCAAAGGTTCGAGGAGAATTAAAAGTAGCAATTGGCTGAACTCTCAAGCGACGGATTTTTACACAGAAAGCATAAAAAAGCTTGTTTGATACCCAAAGTACTTAGAAAACAATGGTGACTATGTAGAGAAATAAAGTATGTTTGTCCAAGTTTTGCACAGTAATACAAGTGTCTTCTCTTACTTTGTTTCTTTTTAGTGTCCGACCGTCCCTTATTTTTTAAACATGCTTCATATATTTTCTTTTAGTTTTAACTTAAAAAATAACAGTAGCAATATGCATGTAACGTTATTGTCACTGATGCTATAGTCACTTATTATAAAAATGCTCCCCCTGTCTGTAATCGTTTTACTTATGCGATTAGAGTTACAAATATCAGAAATTTCTTTCAGTGTTTTTACTGTATTCTGAAATTGAAACCCGTTATTTTGGCCAAAACAGGGGCGAAACACGTGGGCCGATTTTTGACATCCAGTGCAACGTCGGATTATTTCCCTCCCAATCCGTACAAAGCAGTGAGTCTAGGACCTACTTACGTGCGTCCGGGCGAAATTGCGAAGCCAGCCCAGAAGATGCGTTTCTACGTCCCTTTCCCGAAGGAACCGGGCGGAAGTCACGCTGGTTGCTTCAGCAAGTTCCCGGAATACGTGAGCGAATCTTACGCTCGAGAAAAAGCTAAGATCGAGCCCAAGTTTATAAGCGGCGGCTCGTCCACACGGTCGAAATACACGAGCAGTATCATCGCGCGGATAACAAGTGTATCATGCAATGCGCTCAATTACACGGAATATCGAGAACGAGCGTATCCGCCGCAACGCCGAGAGAAGGAAAATTGTTCATTTGCGCGAAAAATCTCTCGAATTTAAAAACTTACTCTTATTCTTTTCTTTTCTTTTCCTTTTTTTCCTCCCGCCGTTGCAGCAAGGTAACTGGATTCGGAAACGCGATACTCGCGCGCGTCGAGCCGCGTATCGCACGAGCGAGTCATTCGAGAGCGCGAATAAAGTAATAAGAACGAGGAAACGATCGAGCCAACGCCATACATAGACCATGTATTCGTATATCCATGTTACATCAATGAGTGAAGCAAGGAAAGTTGGCGGTTTAAGGCTGAGAGAAAAATTGCTTATTTTCAATTGCTTTCTCACTCTAGCTTAGAGCTACCATCAAGAGCTGATATCTCATTATATTAACATAACGTTCTTGACAAATATGCAAGAAAATAGTAGAAGAAGTTGTTTAGTAGACAATTATTCCGTCGAATGTGCCAAGTTCCAATCATTGTGACCTTGATACATGTTGTTAAGGACATCGATTTGAGTAACTTTCGAAAAAAAAGTTTCAGCTGGCGCTCATTATTTATTAAAAAAAAAAATGCGATTAACTTTTTTTTAAGGTTTCTTCATGTAGGTTCCTCTAAAAAACGTTCTAAATGAGAATAGTCTCTCAATTAATCTCAAATAATAACTTCCGACTTCATTCTGCGGAAAAAAATTCTTGGACTATGTACGTATGTCGTCGGAACGCGCAGATGGACTTAAGTAATTATGACGTGACGCATGCGAGGGCGCACATTTGTTTGTTGAATTCCGCAGCGAAACCTGGTTAGCGTAAGCTGATTTCACCCCGCGTCCCGCGGCGCTTGCAGCCAAACTCCGCGCGAGCGCGGATTATTTCCGTTTCATCGTGTCCGCGATACATGCGTTATTATGCGATCTTGTGCCAGCGGGCCGTCGACGACTGTCCGAACGTATATCGTGCTTCTGTCACGCTACGACCGTCGGGATAGCCGACAAATGGCTTTTTGGCAGCGGCTGGTAAGCCATGTGCCGCAAGCACATCGGTTTCCCACTCTCTTCGACTAGTAGTCGCAGCGACAGCGCGCGAGAGTCCCTTTCAAAGCGAATCACTCCGCAGCGTCCGAACTTACGACCCTAATGAAATTCTAACGGACGTTCTATCGCCGTCGTCGCCTCTCCCAAGTCCACTCTTGGCGATGGCAATTAAATCCGACATATATTCCCGGCAAGCACTCCGGACGACGGAACTGTCGGCCGATAAGCTGACCGATAGAATGCCGAGAGGGTGTGAGAAAGGGAGCGAGAGAGCGAAATTATGAAAAAGCGGAGAAATTGCTTCAAGGCGCGCTCGTATTTGATTAGGGACAAGTAAGCGAGCGTAATTAGCGACGGAATGTTTTACTTGCCGTCGAGGGGAAAAAAGGCGAGTCCTCCTTCGCGCGGTACCGGACCGGGATTAACGAGCAAGAACGTGGCCAAGTTAACACGTACGTGTGCAGCGCGGCGCGCCGCTCGCTAAAAAGACAAATCGTCCTTCGTCTTGAATCGCGGTGCCGTTGATGAGCCGTCGGGGATGTGAAGGACGGCGCCGGGTGCCGACAAGGAAGAAGAATCTTCGTGCGAGAGCTCCTCGAAAGCTCGCGTCGTTCTCCGTTTTCGAGGATACATCCGAACGTGACGGTACTTGGGCACACTCACGCAAACAGTAAAAGCCGCGAGACATAGGAAAACGTAAGAAAGTTGATCAATCATAGTCGATTATCCTTACGGAAAAGTGTTATTGGCTGATCAGCAGTAAATTACTGTATTTTAATAATCTTCTTAGACTAGTGTCTGATGATTTTACTCAGTATTTAAATATATAAGGATATTTAAATTACAAAGGCATTAAAAATGTAGAATAATTAAGTGATATTGTAGATAACGCACGTCCTTAACACACGTGCGTCCGGACGCTTCGCTCATTGCAAAACGACGATCACGACGAAACAACGATTGCAAACGACACTCGTCGAAGCGAAAGCTCGGGGCGAAGACGAACGGCGGACATTTCGCTCGAACAGCAAATGAACTTTCCTCGGCCGCGCGACTTTCGCACGCAGAGTCTCGCGCGCCGCCACGTGAAGGAGTGTTACGTATAGAAATGCAATAAGCGTTTCTGCCTCTGAAAAATTTCTCAGAGGGGCACGTGGCAGACAAGAAATGGCAGCAGGCGGGTATGATTCCACGAGATTTATTCCGCGGTTGAAGCCGACCATTTCTCCGTGCCGTGTCGTTGCGCCGGTATTAAACATTCCAGGCATTGCGATGCCTCTCCAATACTCGCCGGTCTTCTACGTAGGGGCATTGCACAAGAAAACCCGGCTCGACGCGAAGCAGTCGCATGACTAGCCCCCCGCGAGCGATATAACGCGCACATGTACGTATGTATATATGCTGCACGTGCGCGCCTCTGAAGAAGCGGAAGAGAAGCGTCGGCAGACGGTAACAAAAGCGGACGCGGGGGTTGATGCGGGAGAGAATATGGAGAATCCGACTGAGGCGAATCTAACGAAATCCTTTCGGAGTTACATTGCGAGAGGGAGAGAGAGAGAGAGAATCGTTATGACAGTGACGGAGCCTGATACAATAGCGCGATTGATAACACGATTAAAGGGATGTTTTAATTCAATGCCGTACTTGAGAATTTTGCCGATAAAATACTGACATCTTTCTGCAAAGTTCATGTCGTATTGGCTGCGCAGAATTACATATGATTTTGCATAGTTAAAGTACACGCGAAAATGAATTTCGAGCAATACTTGATACGTGATAAAAACGACTAAAAATGTGAAAGTTGACATCTCCAGCTGTAAGTCAGCGTAAATATTTATCTGATACAAAAATCTTGTACATACCGGATGTGTCAGTGCTCCAATCAGGAAAATCTCACAACCTTTAAGATGATCTTATAAATTACAACACTTTATTCCAATGGGATCGATGTGTGGATCTTAAAGGATTAAACTGTTAATCTGCTTCGTCGCTTATGACCGATATAATAAATTATGTTGTGCAGCTCATGCACACTTTCACGAGGAGCGCCGGGAAAACGAGTAAACTTATAAAATATCAATATCATGTGCGTTAATTTAAAATTTATTAAAATTTAACTGCATCCCGTTATCGCGCATATTCTGAATGATTAATCGAACTGACCTATCCATTCACCACTTCAGCGAAGAGTAACCGACGATATTCCGATTTCCTCGGACCGACGTTTTGCTAGCCGGACGTCAGCGGACGTGGATCGTGACGCAAATGTGACACCGACAATATCCTCCGAAGTTTAGTTATAATTGCTACATCGGAAGCGGATAATGATACCGCTATCGTTCGCCTTTGCACGAAGAGGGTCTTATCGTTCATCGGATCCGCGGGATTAACGCGACCCGCTCGTGCGGCGTGCGAAACCGATCCGCGGATGTCTTTATCCTCGTATCCGCTGGGAAAAACGGGAGACGTGATGTGATTTAGCGTCGAGGAAAAGTCGCGGTAAGGTTCACGCGCGCGCCGAAGATTCCTATTCATGTGTATCTCCACGTGGCAACATATACAGAGGTGAGACAGTAACTATTACTATCTTAAAATAATAAAGAAATTGATTATAAAATATAGCTAAATTATAATTACTCCTACTGTATATATTTTTTTCTCGGTGCGAGCGCTAGAAATAAGTGCGCGAATATGGGAAACCGTACGACGATTTTTAACTCATAGAATTAAAAATATATATTAATAGATGTTACAATCTTCCTTCAGGCTATTTGCAGTGAATGAACACAAATTTACGAAGTTACATCTGTTAGCGCAATTCACACGAATCAATAATAGATGCAATCAGCCTCGTAATCGGTTCTCGAATGACGGGTATTAAACACCTTCAATAACCTATGTTCACATCGGATCGCAGGACCATACAACCCGCAGCTATACAACGTTTTTCACAATACAGCACCAGTTTTAGAAGGTTAAGGCACAGGCGAAACGAAGCGAGTCGCAAATGCCGATTACCCCCTGTAAATTTAAACTTTCTTCGCTTTTTCATATTATATTTTTCGTACAGTTTTCATATTAATTTCCACACACTCGGGAATAATTTTAATTTTCCGAGAATATTCGATAGTACTTATCGCTCCACTTTATATAAACCCCGCGAAATTATACGCTGTGCGTTCGAGCCGTAAATAATGCGGCCGTGGTATCGCGCTGCCGTGATTTACCGTTATGCGATTTCAATGCCTCTCTCGATGCTCAATAATTAAAAGACGAGGAGCGCACGATATCGCGGAACGAGTGTGTTTGCGCGCTACTCGCGTCTTAAATCAACGTTGACCGTTCGCGGGTTTCTGAATTTTCATACGTTAACATTAAAGCGGCACGGAGATTTCGCTTGCCGCAAAGCCCGCGTCCGGCAAGTATTCCATATGGAAATCTCACCAATCGTCATGGCAACATGCTAATACAAATAAATGGCCGCATGCGGGGCCGCGAGACTTGGTTACGTCGGAAACGCGCCAAGTGACGTCGAGACGTTTATTACACGTCGATCGATATTTCGTCTTTAGCTGGCGCAACGCTAGCAGCTCCTCTTCGTTCGCATTCCTTCGCGGCGATCCGCGAGCCTTCATTCATCCGCTGGCCTCTCCCATTTGTTGATTAACGCGAGCGAACGATCCGATGCGGTATCAGGAAACTACAAGAGCGAGAAGGAGAGAAAAGGAAAAGAAAAGGAGAAGACATAAAAAAAGAAGTGAAAGGATCGCGCGAGAGAGGAGAGAATGGACGGACGATCGGTGTGACGATCGGTGAAAAGTGAGGGGAGAAGGGAAGAAAAAGACGGAGAAGCAGGAGGGCGAAGTTGAAGAGGAAAAAGAAGACCACGACGACGGGGTAGGAAAGCGCGGCCGATGGAGAACAGTTCGGTTTTGTTAGCACGGTAAAGAGACAAGGAAGGAACGATAAGCGGCGGGAACGGGATGCGTATCCGCGCACGGATGTTTGAGCGAGAGAACGAGCGAGTGGAA